GGTTTGTGCACCGTCACGAAAACAAAAAATAAAGGTCCGCTTCCGCGTGACCGCCGGCATTGGCAATGTTTCGCTGACATTGAACGCATCTGTATGCCATTAAACTTGGCACAGACAGAATAACATCGCCGGGGTCACCTGACCGCTATTATATTCAATGTCCACATGGAGGAAACTGTGCTGGGACAAAGAGGAGGACGGACGGAATTGTCATGTCGCGATCCTTGTAATTTATTGTCCAAAAAGGAATAAAACGCATTGCTGGATCGGCAAAAAACTAGGTCTTCTTCACTCATGATCTTTTCACGGAAAATTTACAATTCAAAAGTCAATGAAATTAGAACTCTTAAACAAATATTAAGCATAATAATAATTTAAACAGTACAAGAGGTTATACGTGTCGTAAAAACTAAATACCATAATATTTACGGTCCACATTTTAATACTGCACATAAAAATACATGAGTGTTACTGGAAAGATCAGATAGTATAAATTGACAGTATGTATTGGTGGTAGGAAGTGAGAGAAAGAAGGAAAAGTGAGTGAGAGAGAGAGAGAGAGAGAGAGAGAGAGAGAGAGAGACAGAGAGAGAGAGAGAGAGAGACAGAGAGAGAGAGAGAGAGAATATATAACTTAACGATCCCTATAGGATGAAAGGGATCCAGGTAATACTTGTAATGCATTTAGATGGATAGCGAACTATAGAAAGATATAATTCGGTCCTTTAAGACCCAAAGTCTTCAAATTTTGTTTGTTTTTTTACTCAAGGGGGTGGCGATCAGCGTGAATATGCGGAATATTTATCTTAGGTATATTGGCGTTGATAAAGCTTTTACATCATTAACGTCCCAAATTAATCTCAACGCATTATTAGTATTTTCTCATATACGTGCAACCCTTCATATTAATATATCAACTTACGTAATGAATAAATTTTAAAATGTTTAAACAAATAAAGAAAATCCAGGATGTAAAAATAAAATCGTTGTGCTCAGTTCCATGTATTTTAATAAACTACTAATTATGGTTTTTAGTTGAGATAAAAAGTCAGTGTCACGAGCGGGATTCGTACCCACGATCTTCGGCTAGATACGCCGCTGCTGTACCACTTGAGCTATCCTGACCTCGATCCACTCGGACATTAACTTCCCATCTCAACCCCACCTTTTGAATTTTCCCTCCTTTTTGCCATTTTTCAAAAGGTGGGGTTGAGATGGGAAGTTAGTGTCCGAGTGGATCGAGGTCACGATAGCTCGAGTGGTAGAGCAGCGGAGTATCTAGCCGAAGATCGTGGGTTCGACTTGTTAAACCTTAATTAATTGAAAGGTATTAATTGGTCAAGCGGACCACGAAAACTAGTGAATGTAATAAACATATGTGCATATACAGATAAAAAAGGTTTTTACATAAATCGAGACGATATACGGATTTGTTCAAATTTTATGACAAAATAAACTGACACCAAAGACAGTACTGTCGTCCCATACAATGACTATTTCACTTTAGTCAATAAAATAATAAATTCAATTAATTAAGGTTTTTAGTTGAGATAAAAAAGTCAGTGTCACGAGCGGGATTCGAACCCACGACCTTCGGCTTGATACGCCGTTACTCTACAACTTGAGCTATCGTGACTTCGATCCAATCTCAAGTGGTAGAGTAGCGGTGTATCAAGCCGAAGGTCGTGGGTTCGAATCCCGCTCGAGACACTGACTTTTTTATCTCAACTAAAAACCTTAATTAATTGAATGATATTAATTGGTCAAGCGGACCACGAAAACTAGTGAATGAAAACAATAAATGTTTAACTTACAAACCACATTAATAGCTTTCAGTTGAAATGGAAAACTCCTCGTTCAAAAGCTGGGACTTTTGTTTCGAAAAGGAAGCTTACGGAGGAACTTCATAGTCGTTTGTAACAAAGCATTTTCTTTTCATGAAAACATAACAGATGCGATGTTTGTCTGTGATGCATGGAAATTGTTGTATCGATCTCAAAAGTTCGACTTTTCTTGTTGAATTTAGTTCACCATTTGTGTAAATTATCGGTAGTTATGTCGGTGGGTTTACCTTTGAACATTAAGTTTGTTCCGATTTTATCTCATCCTGAGAACTTATCGAGAAAATCTACTTTTAATTAATGAAACTTTTCCTCTAAAGTTGTGCAAGAAATGGTAATCTGAACCCACTTACAAAGCAAACAATAACAATCGATTTGAATTTCTTTTCAATATCTTTCCTTCGCTGTTCTTTCCCTTTTATAACGCATAATATCCGTCCTCCATTTTACGAGGCGCTGAATGGAAGAGGCCATTCCCCGAGGTGAAGAGAAGAGTTTCATCAAGGAATTTAATAGGCCATTTCCAAGGAGGAAATGCACTATAAAACGGGCCGAAAAACCAGAGGGGCCCTTGTAGAAGGGAGGAGGAAACCGTGAGATTACCACGCTTTCACGTCGTAACTGGACTGTGATGGAAAGTGAAGCATGCTGGGCTGACAAAGCCGAAAAAGCCTTATTGTTAAACTGTGACGAAGTTTCTTTCAAGGAGAGTATAGCCCTGATGAAAATACTACACATGGAAAAGTACCTGGCGAAATGGATTGATGAAAATTTATGACATCAATTGCACTATCCAGTTGGCATAATGAAATAGAGATATTTGGACAAAACGTAATCTTAAGCGTCTTTTTGTATATATTTTTTAATTAAATTGCCTTACCAAAGACTAATACAAACAGAAAATATTGATTTAAGTTTGTTTTAAGTTGCAAAAACCCTTAATAGGTTACCGGAGATAGGAAAAGGGAAATACAACTATCTGGAAATTCCAGGGCTGGAATGGACTAATACAAACCTGTAGGAACTGGGAAATGTTCATTTCGGTCTGTTCAGACTGATTAAAGTAGCTGTAAGTTCGAGTTAAGTTAGACGTGAGTTTTGCGATGTTTTGGACTATCTTAGGCTACCAGAAGGGCAGAAATCATCAGTATGTAGAAAATATTCGACTCTTCTCGGACTTGCAAAATCCTGCTTTATGTTTCATAATTTAAATACTGTAATCTTTCATTGGATAGTGTGTTTTACAAGTGTGTGTTAGAAAGTTTTGGACTAACCCAGGCTACCCGAGACTGGCAGAAACATGCCAAAAATTGAAAATGTTCGAGTATTTTCAGGCGTGCAAAATCCGTCTTTGGGCTGCAAAATTTCAATACTTTAGCCTTTCATGGGCTAGGGTTTGATAGAAGTGAGTTGGGCGATGGTTTTGACCATCCTAGGTTGTCAGAGGCAAGCAGAATCCTGCAGAAAATTAAAAATTTTGGAGTATTTTCAGTTTTGCAAAATCGTGCTTTATGCTAAAAAATTGCAAACTTGTAGTCTTTTGTGAGTTAGTGTTAGTGAATGTTGTGAGGTTGTGGGCTATCATCCTAAGCTACCAGAGATAGGCAGAAATCTGCAGACTTGCAAAATCCTGCTTTTTGGCTTTTCTAGAAATAGAAGCTTTCGAAACGGCACTGCAGTAGAATAAATCACATCCTCTCATGGATGTATATATTAAGGAAAATCTTACACATGAGGTGGAATTTTTTAGATTCACGTCCCCATGAATATTGCTCGCTCTCTTCCAATAATACTCTTCCTATAGGGAACAATGGGATTTGCCTATCTCGCATTCCCTCAAGGCGGATAGGAAACAACCAATATTCGAATTCGAGCTGGGAATTTTTTATTCTTTTGTCCCGTTTGGCATGGTTTGTCGAAGAAGCAACCCCCAATTGAAAATTAACCCGGACAATGCAAAGGAGATGAATGGGTTCAAATTGGACGGCAAATTGAATTAGGGTGGGTACGAAGGTAATGACCCTTCCCAACATAAATAAAACCACGGTCGGAAGCTTTGAAGTTCTCGCCATTAAAAAAAAACAAAAACTAAATAATTCGTTTTAATAATCAACCCACAAGGTATATTTTAACCGACATGAAAATGATCCATTATTAAGAAAGTTATATAGCAATGTGTCCTTATCAATATTTTGCTTATTTTATATAAATATATGAATTTCTTACCAATCGTAAAAAAAGAATTTAAAAAAGATGAACTATAAATTGTAATGCATAAATATAAAAAGAATAAATAATAGTCAAAGGAAACTTTTAATTACCTACCTTATTTCAAAGTGTACCTGATTTCCTTTATAATTTTTCTGTTAAAATAACTAATAAAATTAATTAAAATTAGCTCTCCCTCCTACATTCTCTCTATCCATGTTATCTATCTCTATTGTTTTTCCAACTCTCTCTCTTTCCCTTTCTTTTTTCTTTCTCGCTCACTCACTCTCTTTCTCTCTCTTTTTCTCTCATTTACTGTTTCTTTTCTTTTCTTTCACTCCCTTTCTTTTTTTTGCAAGAAAATTCACGATTTGAATTCGATTGATTTTAATAAAACCGTAATCGTTCATTTATTCATGCATTCTCTCTCTCTCTCTCTCTCTCTCTCTCTCTCTCTCTCTCTCTTTCTCTCTCTCGTTTTTTTGAAAGAAAATTCACGACTTAAATTCGAGTGATTTTAATAAAACCGTAATCATTCATTTATTCTCTCTTTCTCTCATTCTTTCTTCCTTCCTTTCTTTCTATCTTTCTCTTCGTCTCTACTCTACTCCCATCCATTCTCGTTTCTTTCACTTTGTTTCTCCCCCTCTCTCTCTAATTCTATCTTGATTTCTTTCTCTCTTTCTCTTTGTCTCTACTCTACTCCCATCATTCTCTTTTCTTTCACTTTGTTTCTCTCTCTCTCTCTCTATCTATCTATATCTCTTGCTCTCCTTCTCCCTCTCGGCCTATTTCTTTTTCTTTCGTAGTTAAAAACTGCGTTAGGTAATAATGGTAATATAATGTATTATTTATTATATGATAGACCAACAATGGTTTATTTTTATTCATTTATGTCACTGCATGCCTTGCTGGCAATTTTATCATAAAATTTTGTTTGTTTTGTTCCAGGTCCTCTCAGCATTGGACATCTTGCAGCCCCCTCACTTGGTCTTTTTCCAAGAGATGTATCCTTTTTGTTTCAACAAATTAGGCATTGTTCGCCGCTTACCAAGATTATTTAGCCGTTTTTCCATTAACTTTGAACCCAATTCCGTTACGTAAACACATTGCATAGCCTTTTTTATTTCCTGCTGCCAAATCGATCGGAGGTTTCGGGGCGTATTAACCAAATAGTCTAGTAAATTATTTCCATCCCGATTTTTTTTTCTGTTAAATTTTCCCCTCCCCAAGTTGCTCATTAATTAATTTTCAACTGTCGGACAAAGTAAAACTGGGCCAGGCGATTTGTTACGACTCTGGATTCGTAATTAAAATTGACCTGTTGGTTATTAATTATTTCCTTTGTGTTCACGCTTTTTATCGTCAACATTCCAACTGTATTTGACACAAATATTAATTTCATTGGAAATAATTGTTCTTCATTTATCCATACATACGGCTCTGCGTGTGAGTTTCACCGTAAGTTTTCCCACAGAAGATATATGACCATTTTCGTCTATTTTATTGCGCTATTTTCATTCTTATAAAGCAATGATGATAATTTGATAAATGAAGAAACATTAAACGCCATTAACATCGTTATGTTTGAATTACATTTACTGACTTACATTTCTATGTTTAACCAAATTGGCAGTTAAAATTGAAGTTTTTTTTAAGCTTCGCGAGAGTACGGAGACCGATTTCTCTGCTTCGTACGACAGAAAGAACAATTAGAACAAGAATTAATTACGGTTTTAAGTTGAAATAAAAAAGTCAGTGTCACGAGCGGGATTCGAACCCACGACCTTCGGCTAGATACGCCGCTACTCTACCACTTGAGCTATCGTGACTTCGATCCCCTCGGGCACTAACTTCCCATCTCAACCTCACCTTTTGAATTTTCCCTCCTTTTTGCCATTTTTCATTGGTCAAGCGGATCACGAAAAATAATGAATTAGAACAAGGTTGTATGTGGAAAGTAAAATTGGGCTTAGAACGCAACCCTTCAAAACACCCGTTTTGGTAAGCAGAAGTCTTATGCGTAAGTGTATGTGTTTCACGTGAATGATTGTACCTTTTGTAGTATATTGCTGTACAATTAGCATTTCAAGGTTAGATATCACACTCACGGACACACGCAAATAATATAAACACATATACTCAAAAATGTGTTTATTCAGGTTACTTTTATCCAATTTAATTCGCTTTGTACTATAAGCGATTTGTTGGTGAAATTCAATTTGATTTCTTTCCATTATTTATCATAGGTTTAACTGCTAATTCCCACGGACATCACCGGTGCCAAAAGGTTCTTTATCATTTTTTTTTCAAAGAGTAGAGCTCCGAACCGCCTCAGTATCACAGATTTATCTGTGATGTTTTGTACGGTAGAAAAAGCAGCTGGTAATCCGAGAGAATTATGACACCAATTACGTGATCAGACTCAGTGGAAGCCGGCTTCCGACCCGGTGAACCGGTTCCTGGCCAAGACGAATCCTTAATCTGTGTTAATGGGCCGTTTATCGCCTCGAGCCGTGCTCCATATGAAATTCAACGGTGGATTTGCATCCCCACCGGCACGGCGACATTGGTGTCGAGGATCGATAAAATCGAAAGTCATTTGTTTAAAAAGTAAAAAACCTACAAAACGGGCTTCAGCAGGCTGGATTATTTCTCCAAGACGGCCCACTTTCCCTTACGAAAAATCTTCTGCAACCTATCAGAAATGATAAGAATTGGGACGTTTAAAATCTATAATATAATAACTAAAAATAAACACTTTTAGGCCTAAGCCGTGTTTAACCGATTTACATTTGACAATCCTTGTATTCAGCGTTGAAGTTTAACAGTTGATGTTCTTTTTCTGGTGTGTCTGTACGAAACCTTTGCGAGAGTCCGGAGTCCGATTGCACTGCTCCATATGTCAGAAATAGAAATTAGATCAAGATTGTATATGGAAAGTAAAACTGGGCTGAGAACATCCCTGCAAGACACGAATATTTGCCGGTGCGTAGTTTTATGAGTATGTTTGTATCACTTGAATGTATGTTTATTTATGGGTTTTCCGTATCGAAGGGGCTTAGAAATGATGGCATTCCAGCGTTACTTTTAAAGCAAGCCAATTACAGATTTATAACCCATTTGTCAGGTCTTTTTATCTTCTTTCTTTTTCTTTACTTTTGAGTGTGATAACAGTCAGATACTAATTGTAACATATTTACCTTTATACTGATCAATAATAGTAATTTGTGGGGGTACACAAACCCACCGTCTAGCCGCTCATACCAACACAACTAAATGTGCACTCCATCAACCCTCTCCCTTCCTCTCTACTGTCCAGTGACATTCGCACGTGCAGCTAGCGGTTGATGGTGTCAGTGAGAGTCACTACCTTGTACAGATAGACATAACTTTTACCCCTTAACCTGTATAAAACAGCCATAGTTCTGCTTGTATGCTAGTAGTATATCCTGTGAACATCGAGCTCTATGTCTGCTTTATGCATCTGAAATGACAATCGGCTCGCTGAGCAGGTCAAAAAGTTTCAGGTTGAACATTTTATGGTAATGAAAGAGAGATTAGTAAAAATGGGCAATAGCTAGACGTATATGAACTTAAAAATAGATTAATATAAAATATATTAGTTGATTTTTGTCTTTTTTGCTCTTATAAGTAATTGTATAATAACTTAATTCAAGTCAATAATGGAAGAAACATAGTTGAAAAGTAAGAATCGATAATGTTCGCCAATTATGAAACAACGTACATGGTACCTGTTAGGTGTTTCGAACTATTAATCAAACTTGGGTTCGTCGTTTAATTTAAAATTAAATTCACGTCGTCGTCAGTACGTCTCGAGCCGATAGGACTTTGACAGAACAACTGCCGTTGGCGAACAGATTGATAGTTCTCATTACTGGCATGAAGCTAGGGATACCCAGTCGATAAAGTTTACCAGCACGTTCGTGACCTTTCGGGTTTAGGAAAGGACAAACTGTAAGCAAGATTAATTGTCCAAGGCGATAAATAAGAAACGGCCTGGAGGGTGAATTTATCAATATTCGGTCCCCTACAAGGGCCGGCCTCAGGCTTCCCCGGTTGCCAGGCGACGGGTTCTCCGACGCGACTGCCGCGAATTGAAATATTGCCTTTATTAGCTTACAAATGAGCATTTATCGACCGGGGATCCGCTTGCCGCCATTTGGACGGAAAAAAGGAATCGGGCGTTTTTGCCCTGGAAATTGCAAAGATCTGTAGAGGGAGTGGAGCGATAAGGGAATTAAGAACGAGAGGGGATTGATTCCCTTGAGACCACCTGCATCCTTTTGATGAGCAATTGTATTCGTTTACAAGAGGATGGATTTAAAGGGGAAGTGGGAAATTAATCTTGTCGTTTACAACTTTTTTGTTGTAAAGATTGAGGTCTTACACAATCCTTGGTCATTCATTCTAGTGGTTTTTTGCACGTTGAAACTTCGGAACTAACCGAACTTTAATCGAGTCCACTTATTATATATATATATATATATATATATATATATATATATATATCGAACTCAACAGTGGTTGAGGACGTTGTCAGCTGATAATAAAGCATACTGATTGAATCTAACAATAAAGAACTGACGCGAAACTCAAAGGCCAGAAGATTTCCTGGAAAATTGAGCGTGCCCCCCCCCCAATTTTTATCAACAAACTACAAAATTTTTGGGACTTCCAGGAACGCAATCCAAAAAGGTGGGTATACCGCTGGAAGCTAATTGAAGAGGGAACTTTTGAGGGAATTTGCAAAGCTCCAAGAGTTTGTAGTTATTAACAATTACCAATCCAACATTTTCGAAAAATTCCAAATTTCAATACTTTTGTTTTTTCTGAATTTTTTAATTAATTCATCAATCAGTAAATAAGTTTTCTTACGACAAATTTAACATTTTTTCAGGTGGCACAAGCCAGATTTTTCTACAATCAGTAATTCTGAAGGTTTTAGTAAAACATTTTCTTTATCGTGCCAACGTTTCGATCTTTGTTGAGATCATCTTCAGTGCCTGGGATTTATAAACATTGTTTAAATTTTACAAATACATGTAGGATGTAAAAAAAAATCCAAACAATCATTAACTAACGGTCACTAAACACTACACATTTATAAGCAATTTAGTGGACCTAAGTCGAAAAATTAAAAAAAAAAAAACTTGAAATTACTACGTTCGAATTGAGATTTGGACAGGGGTTCATAGGAAGTTTTTTGTTGTATATGGTGAGTAGAATCTGAAATTTTCGAAACTTATCGCCAGTCACCCTCTGTGTGTGTGTGTGCGTGCGTGTGCGTGCGCGCGCGTTCTCGTATGTATGTATGTATATATATATATATACGCGTGTGTGTGGGTATGGTGAACCGCTGTTGAGTTGGATCGGTTCTTTCCGGATTCGTAGACCTTTTCAGGTTAATTTTCGATGTTTTTTTCGGACGAGGTATCTATGGGATCAGGAGTCCCTCAGGGATCACATTCGGGGCCAATCTTGTTTAGTATTTTCTTTAATGACGTTACTAATTCAATTAAATTTTCTAAAGTGTCTTTATTGGATGATGACTTAAAATTCTACAAATGCATCTCTAGGTTTAATGATTGTCTGTTGTTACAGAAATATATTTCTGCTTTACATGACTGGTACACTCAACAAACTTTCGATTAATCTACATAAATATGCATTTCCTTTTTCTGCAAAAAAAGTTCCTTTCCGAATCATATTCCTTAGGTGTCCCTTGGGGGGAGGTCTCCGTAGTTATTGATTTGGGGTGGTCTTTAACAAGAAATGTACCTTTGAGGATCATTATTCGTACATGATCAATAGGGCGTACAGAAACTTGTTTCATTAAACTATAACGTCGGACTTTACAAGTTCATGCGATAAAAATATTGTATCAGTCTTTGGTTAAGAGAATTCTTGAATACGGTGATTTAATTTGGTCCCTTTATTACAAAACCCATTCAGATGATTTAGAAATGAATCAGAGAAAAGCTAC